ATTATCTCCTTAAGCATACTTTACAAATTCGTTGAAATGTAAGTACACCTTTATAAGTATGCATTACTTGCTTTGTTGTTACCTATACGTTATATTATTGGAATCGCCAATTTGAATTTCGTATCAAATAAAATGTATATATTATAAGTGAATGGATAAGTTTTATTACATATCATTTTTGAACATATTCGAAAAAAAATTAGCGTTCGGAATAATGACCAGCGCCGCATGTAGTTGTTATAGATGCACTATCATCATCACGACAGTGCAATGGCGAGACATTTCGAAATATTTTATTTTATGAGAGTAATATCTCGTCACGAGCACACGAATAATATTATATATAGGTACGTACTTAAACATATTATAATAGCGAATCAACTAAAATATAAAAACAAATCTTACACGATATAACACAATTATTATTTAAGAGCAGCGGGGAAGAGGTTAAGGGTCAAATTAAATAGCGCCAAACCGGTGAAACTCAATGGGTATTTATACCGGGTGTACGTAGGTACCTACGATATTATGTAAATACCAATTACGCACAAGAAATGCTCGTCGTTTACACAGGCACGCCGTCATATTTTAAGAGACCGTCACACAATATTGCATATTTGCTGTATTTTTTAACGGCGACAATATAGCACAAATATGTTCATGTAAAACAAACGAAAAATATAATATTCAAATCGAGATTTTACCGATAAAACACTTTGTAAACTTATATTAAACTTGACCCCGTCGTAGTTTTACATATTCGACACAATAAAATCGAAGGTATAACAAAATCGCGTTTTACATTTTTAAAATTTAAAGTAAATTATAAGAACAATAATAATTTGTTTAGTAGTTTATGTTTAAAAAATACCAGCGAGGATGTTTACTGAAATTGTGTAATCTAAAATTTCATTCTAGGCATTTTATCTCTAAAACCGATTTTTAACGGTTTTTATCGTTTATTTTAAAATTGAACACCGTGAAAACATTTTTGTCGCGTTGCCCGCTAGAAAGACAGACACGGCCAAATCTACCGCGACCTCCTCGTAATAATTATTGTAGTCTCTCGCACGGGATTAAATTACGGTCACGCATTGTATATTTTGCAGTATTTACCGGAGCAGAGCATAAATAATTGAAGTCTCAAAGTCAAATAAACTCAATAGTCTTTAAATTATGTCCATTGATGATATTTTGAAATGTGTGTCAAGATTAGAATTAAGTAATTAAACAGGCATCCACCTACTCGAAAGAGACCCGATAGAAAAAAATGAAATAAAAAACGTGTTTCACAACTCGTGATTGCCTATGCGTTTCGAATATGTCATTATATTATTATATATTGTACAGGCTACATCGCGCGATTATATGCTTATTGCATAGAATTAGCATAACATTATGTCCCTGCGCTGCAGCACACGTCTTATATAAGTGCAGTTTTATGACGCGGAAGGCGTGTGCATTTCGTTCGTCTGTGCAGTTTGTGTGTGATCAAAGTCGCGCGATCCGTCTATTATTATCAGACGAAAAAAAATATTTAGATAATTACCATGCGAATAATATCAAATTCAAAGCGTAATTTATTCAGCACAATATAGTTTATATTATACAGGGTGATTATATTATCACCAACCGATGAAGATTTCTGGTCAATTTTGTTTTTTTTCTTCTTTTCTTCGTCTACTTTGTATATTGTATTGTAATATTATTTAACCTCTATATATTGTACCCCTCCTGTTTTAGCCAATGACCTCAGTAAACGTTTGAACGTGTTAAGTATAAATTTGTGGTAAAGTTTGTAATTGTGAATCTATTTTTTTTCCTGGTTAAAATGAATACAGCGAAATTTCATCGATTTCGATGAAAGGTAATCTATAAACTTCTAGTAATAATAAGAACTACACAAAAAAAGGTTCATCAAAATCAGTAAAATAGTTTTTGAAATTTTCACTAACATACGAACAGACGTATCCTCTTTATATAATAATAATAACTTTTTGAACTGAGTTTACTTTAGTTACACGCTCATTTGTAGTTCAAGTCCTTTGAAACTTCCATCCAATTTAATAGATCTCATATGCCTTGCGGCATATTCAAAACAGTTTATATTTGGTGATTTTAATTACTGAAATATAATATAAAATCATATTACACGTACATAATGATTACAGAAAATATGGACATCTACATAGAGTATATTACTATACTCTATGATCATCACTAATAAATGTATTATATATTGTCATCAGGGGCGGATTGGACTACCAGGAATTCGAAAGTTTTCATGGTGGACCGCTTCTTTAAATAACTATTTAAAAAATTATTTATGTCAAAAAATTATGCTGGTATTAGGTAAATACCTATACATTTTTTTCGATTTTTTTTTTTTTCTAGTACTTACCTAAGTCAAAATAGTTATTGGTTTATTTACGTTTCTGGACAATTATCACGGTAGTCAGCGATTTAGTTGTTTTTTTTATATATTATATTGTACATTCGTTTAACTCTATATGATAAGGTTAACCTAATCTGTGATTTATATATATATCAGGATATATATAAATCGCATACATATATCTGTGACAGTCATGCCTATAGTTGTACTACCAATTACTATTGGCACGAAATCATGGATTTAATATGATATCTGTATCATCATGTTAACCAATACATTTCTTGAATATCGTATGGTACAAGCGAAAATCTCTGAAACAAGTAACCGGTTTTTATATAAATTAGACAGTAGTTCGTTTTTATCGGGCTTTTTCGATTTGTCATTCCCTCCCTATATTTTAAATACCTAATTTATTTTCTTTTAAATGCATTTCATGGCATATTTAACAGATTTTGCACGTTAAAAGTTACTTGACATCAATCCAAATTAATAAAACAAAAAAACACACAAATTGTGTCCTAAAATTACATAAAATGTAGTTGGAATGTTATTCTCCGAAAAATGTCGAGATATTTCGTGATAATATCAATTTTTGGTCATTCCCACAAACCATTTTCACCTGTAGGTGTTTCAATTTTATTTTTTTATTTACATAATTCATATCTGAACATGTTTTTTTGGTAGGGACACGGCCACACTATAGTGTACAAGTTACACAGTATTTTTTTTTGGTTTGTAAAATTTATCGCGTTTACACTGGACAATTAAATCTGACTTAGTAATAAATCAGGATTTGTGTTTTTCTAAATTTTGTCTTAATTTGCATATAGCATGCGAAATTAACGTAATCTCGGGTTTCACCATGACAATATTTAAGAATTAAAAACGTTGACTGATACACGGTTTGAATGTTTTTGGATTTTCGTGGTATTTAACTTTTAAAAGAATTTAGAACACCCCTCCTCCCACAAAATAAAAAAAAACAATCCGTTTTAATCATTTTCGTGCTCGTAGTGTTCACTGCACCGAAAAATTAAATCGGATTAGAATAATCAATTCGGATTAGGTATTACGATATTAGATTGACTTTATCTGATCGCGGTAATCAAACTTAATCCAGTTTAGTGGTTACGGTTTAAATGTAATAATTGTAATAATAGTGTAATATACAGTAAATCAGAGGTGAACGTAGGCTAAAACTTCAGGGAGAGTTAGGGTTTTAACAAATATCACATTTGTATCGCTATAAATTAATAGTATAATATCATTTTATTCATTTTTTTTGTATTGTTCAAATTTATAGAATAATTATTATTTTGAATAGAAGGGATTATACACTCAATATCCCTTCCTGCGTTTATCACTGATATGAGTTACAGTATACTGGCAGTGGCGTAACTGTGGAGAGCAATGTGGGCATTCATCCCCTTTCCTGTGGTCCGTGTAATTATAAGTGTGCATTGTTATTTGTTTTTAGTGTTTTTACAGTAATTTGAATTTTTTTAGTTTTTGAATGTACTGGTTTTACAAAAATAATTATTTTTTTTTAATTTTAATTTTTTTATACTGTGTACAAAAATTCTACTAGAAATATTGCTCCGATGTATACGATGATAGAACCTTTTTTGAAAGAAAATCTTCTCGGGGTAATACTTTAAGGAGATTATTTTTTGATTTACTCAATAATTTTACCAACAAACAAGAAAAAGTGAGAAAAAACGTAAGAAAAATGTGAAAATGTACGAAAATAACGCTTTAATATTTTTCAATATTTTTATTTGTTGTAATTCAGTTAAAAATATTCGTGGAGACTTGAAATTTGAACAGAAAACTTATATTTTCTTTTTCTAGACGTAGTAAAATTTAAAAAAAAATTTAAGTCATTTAAAGATACTTTAATTTTTGCGAGTTTTGTACGTTATTTTCATTTAGAAAAAGAGAGTTTCTTAACAGAAATGATTGAACATTTAATATGCGGTTCATTAAGTTTTACTTTTTGGTCAAAAAAAATTGAGTTGTTTCAAATCTCTTAAATTTGAGTGGTGTCTTATCATTAATCTCTAGTTATAAAATAAATGTACCAGGATCGCTTATGTGGGCTTGCACTGTAGTATATTTACCAAGATATAATTACTAAACTAGTGGTTGATATTGAAAGATTTTCTTCTATGAAAAATCGGAAGTTAGACTTTGTTAAACATTATGCATAATACGTATACATTTTCAACACGCATTATAATATTATATTTGATTAAATAAAAATGTCTTATTTTATGTATGAAAATGTAATATTTAAAATATTGGGCCCAATTTCCGTGTCTTTTAATACAATTATTGTTGCTGTGACGTTAATTTTTCAAGAAATTTTCTGTTTTAAAGAGTGGATGAAAATATATTTTGCGCCCCTTCTTAAGAAAGGCCCATAGTAAGTACGCCACTGTATATCGGTTATAATCAAAACTGTGGTAACTGTAAAGGGTAGCGGCAACGGTTGAGCCGACCGATCGATAGTCTCCTTAGTAACGGATTACCAAAAACAACAACAAAAACCCAGACGGAAGTAGAGCAGCTGTCACACTAGCATTATCGTTTTGGTGCAGAAGACCACGAACCATCTGCAGGTAAACAACATAATGGAAGAAGTCGAGCAGTCGGACACGGAAGAGGATCGTATCTATGAGTATCTGTTGGACAGCGGTGCGCTGAACGACGTGCATGCGGTGGCTGAATCGATCGCCAGCTCATCGACCACCGATTGGTCCGCAGACGGCAGCGAATCGGAAGACGCTCGACGCATAGCCGACCGGCTACTAGAACAGAACGCCGAGGACGTGGACCGGGCGTTAGAGGCGATCGTCCGGGACGCCCGACTGGCCACCGACGTGCGGCTAGTGGACGGTCGGTGGACTGAGCTGCTCGACATCGGACCGGGCCGGACGCCGCGGCAAACGCTCCGGAACCTGGACGCGCTGGCCCGGTTGCCGTTCGCGTACGACACGTACGCTGGTCAGTACTTCCGGAAGCTGACCAAAGGGCTAGAACACGCATACGCGGTGGACGCGTTTTTCGTACCAGCTGGCCGCGTGTACGCCAAGCTGGTGGACGTAGCCCCCGATCCGGATTGTGCGACCGAGAGCTTCGGGTCATTGTGTGAAGCCACGCACCTCCGGTGCCTCCGACCGGACCTCAGTAAATCGGTGGCGGCCGTGTGCCTATTGATCCGATGCATGGCCACGATTTGCGTTCGGTGCGCCGGTTCCAAGAGCGTGCGGTCGGCGGTCACCGAGTTCGTAGCCACCGTCATCCGGGCGAACGCACTGCACCGGCCAACCGGCCGCTCACAGGATCACCCGCCCCGTTCGGATATGACGTCCCCATACGCGATATTGTATTGCGCCGACCCGACGGCCCGGTGGTTTGACCGCGTGTCCCGGTACCACTCGTGCCGGTCGGCGTTCTTCGACTGTCTGGACGGTGATCGGAACCTGCTCAAGATTGTCGTGTCCGGATTTTTTCACTGGATGACCGAGCCAATCATCCCCAGTAAGTCGGACAAGAACAGTGCTACCACGGTTATCAGGTACAAAACAAGAGGCCAAATTACCTTTATTAACACACCCCTCTATATTTTTCCAGATCTTTTTTCTAATCATATGATAACCAGGTTAAAATGTCCATTATTAAATATCCAATAAATAAGACCTTATGTACATATTATATGTTTAAAATTGAACGTCTAATGTTCTTGAGTACCCACATAGAATGTTTATAACGTCAAAAAAAAAAAAAGGTCCACAATTTAAACGCAAATCGTTTGGGCAATGTAAATGTCCGAATTATTATAACAACGTAGGTGTACATGTACATAAAACAAATAAAATATATAAGAACAAATTTTCTTTTTTGGCCACAATATAAAAAACAATATTATTATACGCACTTTAATGTAAGTAGGGTATCACATTAGATAAAACATAATATTTATTCAGAAGGTCTGTGGATAAAATTGTTAGTTTAAACAGAAATACTTGAATAAGTTGTTTATATGTCATACTTTGTGGTATAAAAAAAATATATGAGTTTAATGTAGTATTTCTTTTCTTTCTTTTTTTTTCATAAGAATTCCAACATCAAATTTTGACGAAAATCATAAATATTACAGTCTTTTAAAACATGTTTAACCGAACTTCATTCCACATCGTTTTTCATACACAACGATTAATCATTGCACAAAGATATATGCAAATTAAATTCTCCTTAATATCGTACCTTCTTAACTTCTCACCTACAACAGTGGCCTACCTGTGGTGCATAGTATGTCCATATTTTTGACATTAATGCTTTAAATATTTTTTACATTGGTTATAATATTATGTTTAATGTACAAATTATTTTATAATTTATTTGTACCAGACATCTTTTTGTTGACATATTGTAACCAAGCAGCGATTATAATGGTGAATCTACTCACGCTCATACTAATTGGTTCCATTAGAATTGCGTTTCTATTTAAAAATGTTTAAATTGACATGCATTTACACAGCTGCGATAAAAACAGCAATAATAATTAATTTTCTTAATTAACGTGGTAACCTCACCACTAAATATATTTTCTATGCAAATTAGTTTTTATTTTTATTAATTATTTTTTATTTTGCTGATAATTATAGTTTAGCATATAAAAACTATAGGTTCGCAATAAAAAAATGTATGATTTATTTCAAAAGTAAAAAATACATTGATGCTGCTCAGGGATAGGCCACTGTCGTAGGTGGTTAATCTAGAAGTCAGGATATAAAATGTATTTTATACATTGTATGTAACAATAAATTTCAAACGAAAAACAGATTTTAAGCGGAGTAGTACCAGTTGGTTTTTCTGTTGTTGTCTAGGTAACCCCCAAAAAAAAAACAAAAAATTAAGAAAGCCCACTCTAAGATTGAATGAGAAGAACTTATTTTAAACAATAAAAACTATACAAATTTAGTATGAATTTATATATAAATTAAAAATTACAATAATATTAAAATTATAATTTTTGTTAACCAAATTAACAACCGTAACTATGTATACTGGTAGTTACGGGAGGATAGAAGTACACATAAACGATAAAACGTGTCTAAACGTATGTTTTCAGAGGAAAAAAATATTTTTGTCAACTAATAATATAGCTCTTTCGTTATACTTAGAATCAGATAAATGATGGCCAAACATTAAACTAAAAAACAGATAAAAAATCCGCAAGATACATATTGTATTATCAATTTTTTCATTGCAGTTTATCACAATGATAAATATTATAAAATTGTTTAATATTTTCGGACAGAAAATCAAAATGAAATAATGCACCCACGAAATATTATAAATAAACTAGATAAAAAAAACATTTTTTTTTTCACCTAGTAAATTTCCCAAAAATTATATAAAAGAAATGTTGTGTTAACGCAAGTCTGCATGTGTATTTTTATGTGATTTATTGATGAAAAAAACAAATTTTTCAACATTTCGACATGGTGTATAAAAATATATACATATTTTTTATTAACTTGAGAACACATCTTCTTTTCAAACAACAATAATTATAGAGAAGACTCATAATATTATATAATATTATTTGTGTACCACTATAAAGGTACGTGGTAACTGCTGTAGCTATTTACCAATACAAAAAGTAAAAAAAAAAAAATATCGCGATTCTAGTTAATATATTATTATTGTTGTTTTATTTTATCGAAGACGTCGGCGGCGGCGGCGATTCGAAAATACAGGTTTTTTTCTCTTAAATATCAATGGTTTACATACACACAGATCAGGGGTGGCACTAGGGAGATAAATCCCCTCCTGTGGTTAGGATGTTTTTAGTGTAACCAGTTTTACCGGTACACGAATTATTTGATTCGTTCTAACGTGGACGTTTTCAACGCATTATTGTTGTGTAATATCATTTCGGCACCTATGCAACATAATCACATACACAATTTTGTTGTTAAGTATATAATGTATTATAGACGATTCGGACAAACAGTCCCGTTGATATTATTCGAACGTGACGATATTATTATGTCATTTTTTTCTTCTTCGGTTTTTAGGTAATTGTTTGCGTTACACAATCCATTTTATTATCATGATATACTTAACAAAATATATGATCACAGTACTAATATCGGTAAGAAATTTGTATTGTTAAAACGCTGTTGGAATAGTACTACTTTAGTAGTGTTCAGTAAAATTGTCCTGTAAAAACAACATAAAAACATTAAGCTAATACCACTGATGATTGCTGGTGGGACTGTTGTAGGTAGGAAATTAGTAAGGTAGGATGGATAAAGTAAGATTATTATAAATAAGCCCTATTATCTATACAACCAAGAAGAATTTATAATTATTACACTGGGACATTGATTATAGTTAATTTGTTTTTAACTTTTCGACTTTACAAGTTAATCATTATTGATCATAACTACACTCAGAATCGTTTTTCGTTAGTGAAGTTTTTCGAGTTAAATTTAATTTTTGTAAACTTTTAATCGAATGCTTTTTTTTCGTCGGATTATAGATTGATCTAATCAAATTAAATATTTTCACGATCAATATTATATTATGTTTGAACGTTCGGCATAATGTAAATTAAGCATTTTCGTTTCACGGCGAAATGTTTAAAACTCGCGTGACAACAAAATATTTTGGCGGATAGGACATCTACGTATTGTATCGAAAAGCGCGATCGTACCAATATTGTAACAATGTATAGTACAAATATTATAATTTTAAAATTGTTTACATAACAGTCCTTCGAATAACGTTTCAACGGTTGGTGTGCTAGGTATAGACAAGTGTAGGTTTCGTCACGGCGTTATATAATTTTTTTTCATTTTGACAATATTTTCGTCGTACCTATCAATTTCAAAACATTATGTTCACTTTTATGGGCATGCGCAGTCTGACGAGCCGTGCCTCGACGAAACTATTACCGGTACACAATTTCAAGATTTACTATAATGCGATTGCCATTTGATAATACCATAAATGTGACTGTATTAAGCAAACGCTAAATACAATCGCATACGCACTGCACGTTATACATACGGCAACATTTCATATTTAATAATTACATCAGTGTGTTATCTCGATAATACGGCGTATGCGGTTTACTACTTTCCACGAAAGTATAAGTTTCGTTGAGATAATTTCATTTATGAACTCGCATGCGCGTCGCACATATTATTCTTCACCTGTAACACGTGGATCACACTCGGAGGTGTGCTTATCATTTTACTTATGCAGGTACATCTCTGAAAATTATTTAGTGTACGCTATTGCCGGATCTCAAGAAGGTAAATCTACCCGTAACCGTCACTAACATTAACCGGAAAAGTTATTTAAAAATAATCAAAAAAATAGCAACTATACAGCAAACGGTGCTTAATGATGTTAGGATACGGACGACTAAATTTAAGCGATTTATTTCCTGCATGACCATTTGGAACTCAAGGATAAATTAACAAACTTTAAAACACAAGTGAGAGCTCCCGTCATTTAGAAATTGAAATTTCGAAATCCGATGATGCGTAGGTATGTGTACATTTTTAGATCTCTGCACGTTGCAGATTTCGTCCGAAACCTATGTGACGTCATTTATTATGGTAACGAGACATTTTCGAAAATTCCCCACCGTATCAAATTAGATCGTTTGGAAAATTAATTTTTTTTCCAAACTGATCAAAATCTTCCCACAAAAATAACGAATTAAAATTCCACATTACCTTTACTATCAATTTTTTTAAAAATTATTCAGTAAAACTTTTACGAATCTAGAGAAATGGTTTGAATTAATAGTACCACAGGTCGGAAAATCTTCATTTTTAAGGTACAAAGCAAGAAAGTTATTGGCCAATATTTAAAATCAAAAACATTTTACCATATTTTAGTAAAACTTATTTTTCTAAGCTCTACTCATAATCGAAAATCGTCCAAATCAGAAATTCGCACCTACTAACTAAACATGTTGTAAACGCGAGACGCAGTTAAACAGATAAAAATATTCGTATGATTTTACATAGATACGCGTGTTGCCTACACGCGATATATTTACTGGCTAAAATGTTCGAATACCGTCGGGTCAGGACCATGTTCCCGGTCAGGGTGTCCAGGAATACCAAAGTACACCTGACGAGCGTGTCCAACTATTGTCTGGGGTACCTGTCTGCCAACCGCGATCGGGCGCCGGTCACCTTGACCCGTGGGCTGCGCAAGCTCGTGTCCGCGGTAACCGCGCACCACCACCCCGAACTGATTGACTCCATAGCGGTGAGTCCGTCGTGTTTCGGAGTTCACGTACTGGCCGAGGTGGCGGCCACCCGACCCGCCGTGCTCGACGGCGCCGCGGTCGATGAATTGTTCCGCCGGAAGCATTGGCGGGACGGCGGCGATGTGTACGTGGACTCTCTGACAATAGTGGCGGCCGCACTGAGCGAACGTCACGAGAATGTCTGGCGGTTGGTCAACGGGTGGATGCCGTTCATGGAAGCCGCGGCCACGTCTACCGTCGGTGACGACGACCGTCGCGCACGATTTCGCCGGACGTTAATGGTCAACGTGCGTTGCACGCCGTTGGCCGCGCTCACCTACGACTTGGAACCGCAGGACCCGGGACGCGATCGCGAGTTCGATTGGTTGGATCCGCGGCAAAGGCTCGTGCTCAGCTTCGCCCTGTCTGCCGGCACGGGCGCCAAATGGCTGCACCAGACGGGCGCGTTCGATTCGCTGGACGGGCACGTGAAAACTCTGTTGGACGGAACCGTGGAAAACCCGTCGCCGGACCCTCAGGGATTTAACCCTCAAACGTCGGTCAATGCGATTGTCGACACGGCTTATTCATTTTGCGCGTCGTTTGAAGGCATGTTTTTTTGTTTTGTTTTTTATTTCGGTCTTATTCACACGGAACTACTCGAAATAAATCTATTTTCGATTCACTACAGACCATTTCACGTCGAGTCATTTCTAAGTAGAATGGATTGCCACGAACGACGCTACTGATGGTTACGCATCTGTTAATAACGCGTTAATGATAAATTTCAAGTTATTTAACCGGTTGCGATTTGGTTAGCAATAGGGGAGGGGGTATATTTATTTGAATTACTGATTTCGATCACTTTTCAGTAGGCTTCGTATGCGGATCCTAGTCCAAGAACCGATTAGTAGTTTAAATCACAGATCACTTCATTCGAGTACCTCTATGTGAACACCGCTTTACCGGTAAAGTTAAATCATCAGTTTACCTAATGATTTGGTTTTTCGTCTTACAGGCCTGAAAGTTTTACTCGGTGACGACGGACTAAAAGTTTCCGTACAGCTGTCCAGACTCTATCGGTTGTCGTATGATCGTTTCGACGACCGCGACAACGGTTATCCGATGGCTAGGGACGTTCTGATTATGCTTTGGCTCCGGCTAATAGAGGCCGCCACGCACACGTTCACCTTACTCATCCACGCCGATTTGAAACTCAATTACCAAGTACGTGATTCATTGCGTTGCAGTCTGTAAGTCTTTACCGCGTGCCATGTCGTGCTGTGTTTCAACCAAATTTGACCTATCCCAATCTGACCGTTTGTAATATTATAACGAAAAATAGTTAGAGAGGGAAAAAACATTTGATAAAAATAATATTATATTTTAGTAAAATAACGACCGATTAATAATCATCATTATGCGCATTGTAATAATGTTTGCACAAAGTTGAGAAAAAAAAAATGCTCTTCCCTTTACCGTATTTATTACATCATCTTTGCTGGTATTCCGCTAGTCATTATGATCTGATGAATAACGACCGAGTGATAATGTCTAGTCCTATTCGCACACAAATATGTGTAGTATTTGTAGTAACAATGTTTTTTTTTCAGTAAAATAAAAATTAATAATAATATCTATAAATACATTTTGATATCATACAAATTATTATTATCATTATTATTATTACTATCCAAATGATTTCCACAACATTACCGTTTATTGGCAATATTAACAGGATTTGCCATGTGCGCAGTTTTATATTTTCTTTACCATTTCGTAATAATATTATATTCATTCAGCCTTTGTCATATTACTTTTTTTTTTCGTTTCAAGTTCAAAATTAAAATAATGATAGGGGAGAAACCAGTAGGAATACGAGCACCACTGGGTAGACTTCCGCCTAAGATAGGAAGACTGTGCATAAATTCATTCGACAATTTGAGTCTCTACGAGTGTTCGTAACTGAATTGCAACAAAAAATAAAAAAATAATTTAAAAATAAAAATATTCGTATTAATTTTCGAGTCTATTTAAGCAAATTTGAGTCCAGCATTTTCGAGTCACTTTGTAAGCTTGGATATAGACATTTAATACAGTAATATGAGAACAAAGGACGTAGTAATGTACACGATAACGGTTACCACCTCTACGTCTTCCGACTTTATTGTACACTAATTATGACGTATTGAACGATGGTACTTAACGATTTCTATTCTAGTATATTCATTTATAATCGTACTGTTATTTTGATGTTATTTTTGATCAACATGCACAATAAAATGTAATTATGAAACTATCTTTAAAATAGCCTACAATTTAAATATTATTATTTGATGATTAAATTTAAAATATATTTTAATTTTTTTTTTCGTGTATTTAGAACATGCTAGTTAAATTCTAAATTAAACTTTAACCAAAAAAAAAAAAAAACTCATTTTCAACTGAAAAATTAATATGAAGATTTTGACACCGATTTCTATGATATCTGACGAAGTGAATATGTCAGATTCATGGACGTGTATATTCTTCAATAATTATAAAGAAGACTACGAGAAAAATCAAAAAATAACCTGCTCAGTTAGCTACCAGAAACTAAGAGTTGATCAGAATCTATAAGCCCTAAAGATGATTATCAGAGCAAGATTTCCGATAGAAAATCTGTTCACAAATAGAGAGAAAAATAAAACTATTTCACAAAAAAAAAACTTGCATTATAGTAAAACCGATACACCGCGCTCGGAATCTAAAAACAAATTTAAAAAAGACTTTATAGTAAAACTTTACCACCGTGTGCTTCTTTAAACCGCAGCACACGTGCATACAACTTAAAAAAGTCAATTATTTAATATTTCATTCGTTTAGCGTAATATTATATTCGTGATTTATAATCGTATATGTATATATACACACGTTAATACCGCATACCTAATATTAAAAAATAAATTTATACTCAATAACGTAATATCATATTATAGTCCGACCTAACCTATACGCGTTTATGGTAATAGAGTTTATAGTTTTTTCGTCGGTTTTGACGGCCCAGCAATTATTATAATATTATTATAATCGTAATGATCATCATCCCGTCTTCGCCCCGCAGACGTGATAATGTAACGCGGCGCTCACGTGTGCATTACAATAATAATATCCGAATAGAAAGTCAATATTATTATTATTAATAATTCGTTGCGCAACTTCAAAAAGTTTCCACGAGCGAACGACCCACGCGGACGATACGCCTATATTATATATTATACTTAACATGTATACATGTACGGTACAGGTTGATTACACATTATCACGAATCATCAGCCAAAGTAATAGTTATATTTACGGAGGTTTTTCATAAATTTTAGTAACCTAACCTAACCAAGGTACTTAACTCGCAAATAATAATGATACATAAAAAAAAAAAAAATAATAATTTATGAGCTGCTATTGGGGACGGGTACGAGCCACTAATGTAGGTGGGTAGTTGGGAAGAAGGTATACATAATGTTATTTAATTTTTCCCATTAACCAACAGTGAACCATGGCTGACGAAAGACGATGCGGACCGAAGTTCGGTTACACAAAACGTTTTGAAAAGTTGTAATATTTACGGTTTTTGTTAAATTTGTTTTCAAAACTCCTATAAAAAAATAAAAAATAAAAAAAAACACTATATTAAACTCAATTTTTTTTAATCGCTAAGTACTACGTCTTATAATAAGCCTCTTGTTAAATGTTCAAGCATTTCTGTTTAATCTAACACTTTTAACCACGGAGTAACTACTAAATAAAAATTACGTAAAAAACTCGGAAAATTAAAATGTTTGTAATTTACAGCTCGAAAATGGCTTAAATGTTTTAAAATTGTTTTTCTGTTTATCCCTACGTTTTTCTACTTTATTTTGTTATTATTATATTAATGCCGCTTGGAAAATTAAAAAATTACCTCTCTAAAGTACCAACTAGATACAATTTTACTATATATAGAAAAGGCAAATCTAACTTTTTTGACAAAATTTCAATTCCTTACGATTATTTTTAACCAAATTATCACATTAAAATAATAAATTTAAAATGATAAAAAAATTATTTTTGAAAATTTTTCCATAATTACTACGTATTTTTCGGTTTTGCTCAATTATTTAAAAAACTAAATAATTAAAAAACAACTTCCTTGGTTACCAATTAGATTGAAAAGCCAACAAAAAAATATTTAAAACAATATTTTTGGTAGAATACAGAGGCCGTAAAAATTTTAAATATTGAAATCGTTCCGTAGTAATTTGAAAAAAATTGTATTTTTCGTCCTTTTTCGTTTTTCCCAATTATTTTCAAAACTCCTTGAAAAATCAAAAAAAACCTCTCTAATTCATCAATGAGACAAAATTACTTTTCAGAAAAGGTACTATACTTTATAGTTTGGACGATTTCTGGTAGAATAGTTTTTTACCGATAAAAAAATAAAAAAAAAAAAAAAAAAAAAAAAATAAAATACACGTCATAGTAAAACCAATAGATCCTTCGTTATGCTCCGAATCTAAAATAATTATATTTTCGAATTTCAAAACAAAAACCTAGGCGGTGCTATTTATATTTGCATAACCAAATCTAATCCGGGAAATGATATCTATAATTTTCAACAACTACTAATCCCAACATTATTAAACCTGGATATTTGAATCGGCAAATACTTTTTTATAGATTTCCTATATGGATGACATAATTATTAGCTTCTTGTCAATTTATCATAATAGTAAATCGTTTATTACTATTATTTTATCGTTACCGTATTTCAGGACACATTATCGAAATTGTCTGCCGAAAACCGCATGGACGACGGCACAGTTTTTGTTGCCGAAACTACCGAACTCCTGACGAAATTACTGCTGCCTTCCATTCCGCCCTTGTCCGACTCTGTCGCTTCCATCGACGATACTGTCACTGCCGGCGTTCTAGCCGAATTTTTAACCGACGACGCCAACAGTTACGAGACTGGCGTTTGGTTGCAGAAAGTCCGCGCCACCATAATCCGCGCAGAACTGATATCCGTGAGTATATACGAAGTCAATCGGCATAAATGCGCTACGAGGATGTATTTTCGCTCAAAAAGCAATAAATAAAAATATAGACAGCAGAAGTATCCCAGACGTAAATTATACTCCACTGGTTGAAGCAGCCTAATCTGATCTAACCTTAACTAACTTTTTTTTTTTTTTTTTCTAATCAGCAATACTCCAGTGCACCCAGGACCACCGTTAGGCATTGCTTTGGGTGCACTGGCCACTATCGTTTATTTACAATATGATACAAATATGTGGCTGCACCACGTCAAAAAGGCCTGTTTTCCCCTGCGGCGGGGCAGGCTAACAACAAGTAAATACAATACGAACAACATGCAAAAAAAAAAAAAAAAACAACAAAATTAATAATACAAATAATACAGTGGTAGTAAATGGCGTTATAGCAATCTTCCAATCTGCCGCCGGCGCTCATCCTCCTCCCTTGCTGCCATGACGTGGTTGCAGAACGTCCTTACCGCCTCCCACGACCTTTTGGACGACAGCATAGCTCCCACCACCGTCTCCGGAGCTAGGTCGCCACCGATGTCGACCTCCAACTTCCTCCTCTCCTGCCACCTCCTGAAAACTTCCTCCTGGTCCTCTGCGTCCCTCGTCACGCTTCTCGGCTCCGTGCGCCTTGCGTGCCGCCGCCGTCTCTCCTCCGCCAGCAGGTGAACGGGGATCATGCCCGCGATGACGAGTACGGCCGGCGTGGACACCGTCCAATACGCCATTGCCACCCTCAGGGCGACTGTCCTCTGGGGCCGCTGGATGACCGCGATGTTCGATTCGAACACCATGGCCCCAGCTTAGACGGGAGCCGCGTACAGGGCAAAGCTGTCCACCACCGACGCCAGGAGCCTCCGTTTCCTCTGCTGAGCGCCCCCGACGTTAGGCATGATTCGCCATAGCGCCATCGCCGTCTTCTGCGCCCTCGCCGCAGCTGCCTGCAGATGGGCCTTGAACCCCAAGGTCCTGTGGAGCTGGACGCCGAGGTACTTTATCGCCTCCACCGTGCGAATAGGCACCCCGTCGATCGCAAAAGAGGGCTGGGCATAACCCCTTTTGGACGTTAGAACCACCGCCTCGGATTTCTCCGTCGAAAGCGCCAGCCCGTTTTCCTTCATCCACTCCGTGACCCTGGCCCGGTGGCCACGACGGCCAGATCGTCGGCGAACGCCACGAGCGACACTGACGACACTCCCGGTACGTTCCCGCCGGGGTCTACCTCGAGAAGACCGTCGTATAAAATATTCCACAGGAGCGGGCCCAGGACCGAACCCTGCGGGACGCCACACGTGAGGGTCCTCGTAACGCCGTTGGACCGCAGGGTCCTGCCGCTCAAGTAGCTCCGGACGATCTTCGCGACGTAGACCGGGGCGTTCTTCCTCCTGAATGCCCTCTCGATCCTATCCCATCTCGCCAAATTAAAAGCATTCTTAACGTCCAGGGTGACCACCGCGCAGAGCTCCCGTTTATATAGAGGTCCAGAGGCCGCGGCGTTGACTATCTCCATGACCCTCTGCACGGCGTCGACCGCGGAGCGGCCTTTCCGGAACCCGTACTGTCGGTCACTGAATCCTCCGCCGTCCTCGATAACTTCTTCGATTCTTCTTTTAATCAGCCGCTAAAAAAACTTGCCCACCGAGTCCAGCAGGCAGATCGGCCGGTACGCTGACGGACTGTCGAGAGGCTTGTCGCCCTTCCGGAGGAGCACAAGCTTCGCCACCTTCCACCTCTCGGGGGGATCTCCTCGCCCGCTGACCTAGTGACTTCCGCCCTGACCGTCTCCACCTGGGCGGCATCTCCACGCACCTCTATCAACAGGCCACCCATCCTGCACTGCCTCATGCCGATGATGCGGTCACCGATGACCTCCTGCTTGACGCCGGAGCGAATCTTTTTGGCCAGTTCCGGGTACTCTTCCCGGCTAACCTTAACCATGACGGCCGCGGGTCACGCCCGGGATGCCCTCCTTGGGGCCACTACCGGCCCTGCTGTCGCCGTTGCTTTTCCCGCCCGGGCTTAACCTTAACTAACTACTGACAACTGATAACTACTTGTTTAGGGAGCCGAAACGATCGATACGATAATATTATTCGGTCGGCGCCGCTTCGATGTACAATTCGGACCGGATTTCGAAGCTGACCTAGAACCGTACACGCTAACGGACATGGATGCCGCCGGAATAAGATTGGCGCTGAGGTAATACAACTGCGATACGATTTTCTCGGTAAAGAAATAGATTTTCACGGCTCAAGAAGCCCAAGTAAATGTTTCACTATTCACCCCCATCCCAAATTTGATAAAAAAAAGAACATTCTCTCCTCCAAAAACGAAACGAACAGCAACGGATTAATTGAAATTATTCATCTGAATACAATTATTGTAATATAATCGATTTCGCTTTACTCGATCCGGGTGAACGTGTGTGGGTGAAATAGTAAAAGTTAGAACTTATATTGTGTAAAATAAGACAGTGGTTACCTATTCTTATCACAGTGTTTCGTATGCGTGATGCACCATTTTGGATAAATAATGACGGTTCCTTTCAACAACCAATCTGAAGCTCGCACTATCTTATTATACATATAATAATATAGGCTTTCTAGAAAAGGTCGTTTACGATCGATCCGATTACCGATGGTTTGATTTTTGGCACACTGTAGGTACGGGTCGAGCTTGGGGCTTGTTTCCGAAGACTCGGTGGTGGCCACCGAACTCGCACGGCTGATTTGCTGCGATGCCGGAACGCAGCAGCTGTCAGAATCGCGACCGTTCGACTTCACTACCTGCGCGCTTTTCGTGGCTTCCCGCGGATCTAGAAACAAGTAAGTTTGTAACACGTCTGAGTATCATATAAGCATTCTGATATTCGTTTTAACATCCACGAGGTATTCCCTGTTCATGATAGGTCCATTTAAATCTTGCGGGTGGGAAAGTGTCGTATTTGTGTTCTTCTTGTGATCATAGGATATCAATTTATTTATTCTTAAAAATCTGTTATGGTATCTCAGTGGTCTAAAACGGCACTAATTAACTATCGTTTTTAGTTTCAAAATATCGGCGATCACAGTTAAATTTTTTTTTTAGTTATTTTTTCTCCTGTAACCTATTCGGTTTGGTTTTGTACAACAAATCGAGTAATTTTTTTAATTTCGACATTCACTTCTGATTGGAGGTGGCCCAAGGCCTTCATAAAAAGTAATTTGAAATCGAAAATATTAATAATGGCAACACAATACGAATATTGAATAGGACACAGCGTGGTATATTTGAATCAACCAACCAGAATCGACTTTATGTCAAAATGGATCTCAGAATGCCAATATAAGTCCGGGGGTTATTTATAAAATACTACATCACATATTATACTTAGTATTTTGGTATAATTTTGTATAGGTGTGCCAAAGCGCGTGCAGTTTTGTTTGGACTTGAAGAAACTTCACAGTTTTATTGGCCACCGACCTACGATGTGGACGCCGACAGGAAAGCCGCCTTTGGTCACTTGGTCGAGGGGGTGCTACAACAAGAATTGCCGGAAGTGTACAATGCGTTCAAGGTTCGTTGATCGTATTTGTGCTACATTGCCTTTAAACCAGAGGGACTTCTAAGTGTAAGCAAGATTCGGTGGGATTTATAGCACTATAAAACCAACAAAATAGCGATTGAGAAACTTCATTATAAGCCTTTAAAAAGCTTTATAAGCCCTTCAAGTTCTGAAAAAGAACACTTCAAAATATTTTTAAAAGAGTTAGAAAAATAATTTTTTTTTAACACCGCCGAAATAAAAAAAAAGCACTTTAAAATTTTATATTTGAACTCGTTGAAACATGAAATAAATATCTATAGCTCTCTGCTAGTTTTAATGTCGAGTCCCAAAAAAAAAAAAATACAAAAATCGCTATAGCCTTCTATAGTCTACAGTAATCTTGATTTTAAACAATTTCTCGAAGGCGGTTAAAATATCTCCAGTTAAGAATACCACAATTAAAAATATCTTTAATAGAAATATTCCACAGGAAATATTAACTGATCACAATATTATCTAAAATATTTTTCACGATTACAAGTTCTTACGCTAGGTTAAGTTGTGACGTGTGATACAAATACAACAAGAATTAATCATGATGCTCATTAAATTAAATTATTTTTTAAATATTTAATTAATTTTTGTTCAATCGAAACTTTATTTTATTTTTTTAAGAGAGATTGCTCACAGTTTAAAATTAATAGGTAATACAAATTATTCATATAAATCCTAGAGATTTTTTCAGGAGTCGTTTTGTCTATAAGAGATTTATATTAGATTTATTTTTTACCAAAGATATTTTTACTAGAGATATTATGGCCGGAGATATTTTGACCTGGAACTCTTGAAGGTCGCTTCGGAGGATTTTCTCCAGGGTTAGAAGGAAGAGTCTTGTGTCTAGTGCCTAGTAGCGGGGGCGTGACCGCCGCCGAGGAAAACGGCACGTCGCTTTTAGAGGTCGGGTCGTGGCTGCCCAGAGGGAAATAAAACGAATAGATTCGATACTCGATAAAACGACTTACCAGCGCGGGAATACGACGTTAATAATATTATTATTACCGTAATCCGCGACGACTGAACATTCATATTTTTTTGGCCCAAAATCGTCGGTTTCTGTCATTTATCGAACAGATTAATTATTATCACGTTATTATGTAAAATAATGATAGTGCATTAAAAAACGAGCCAACCGATTCCTCTCCGCCGCGCGCTATATCATCAACGATACCAAAACGTTGATAATGATGATTTATTTGTATGCGGACGCGCGTACGCGCAGTGTTCCCAGCCGCCAATTATAATAATAAGTGTGTATATCATTATTTCCTTCAGGCGATATCGTTTTAAACTAAACGTACGTTTACGAATATCTTATATTATAATATATTGCGTAACAAAAAAAAAAATAAAAAATAGTCATCGTCTTTCGAACACGTATTATTATTATTATAACAGTCAGACATTGGTAGTGTTCCGAATAATATAAAAATTATTTTATTTCGAACAAAACACTTCTCAGTTTCGTTTTAGAACGTTTAATACTTAACTTTAAGACGCGTGCTTATTCCGTGCCGAAAAACACTTTTTCGGTTAGTAAATAATTAGTTAGTATTTTTTCACCCGGTGACGATGACGGTGACTACTGACAGATTTTAAACATTTTTTAAAATCCCCAATGCTTAATATATAATGCATAATCATGCAACCAACCATCATATTATAACATCCATAATTCTCTTAAGTCATCTGAATTTACATTTACATATTTTTTTTTTTTTTAACATGTATCCCGAAATCTTTCCGCAAAGTATTCAGAATATTTTGAAAATACTATCGTTGTAAATCATTAGAATATTCAATATATTCTCATTATATTCTAAATAATATTTTTCAAACGCATTCGAATATAATTCATTTTGAATGCATCTAAACAGTATTTTACTTAAGTCTGATAATAGTACAGGTCACTGCAATAGTAGGTAGGTACGAGTAATCGGCATGCGCAACGCCCAACGCACGTTCAATAATAATTTGTGTCGGAATAAAATATCGAAAAACACGTTTGTTAAAATGTAAATTATTACACCCGGTGGGACCAGGTACGTACAGAATATTGTATTTTATAGAAACGCACTGACAACGGGGTTTGTCTAGGTAGGTATCTATTTGCATAACTATATAGATTGCAAAGCTGGACCAGGGGCGGTGGGACACTAGGTATTGCGAGCAGAGACGTGTTCAGGAATTATATTCAGGAAGGGCGTGTAGTAAATAATAATCGTGTGTAAGTTGTATGTGTTAAATTATATTGTATTCCTATTATATAAAATGGGGTGATTTTACTATAGAAATCCAAAAGTCGGGTCCAAAAACAGTAGGTCTTTAATCAATAATCGAGTTTTTCCTTGTTACTGGCTTAAACTTTGTAACTTTTAAATACTTGGCCAATCGAGGAACGCATTTGTTTTATTATGGCATGGTCTTTTATATTTCGGTCAAAACAAATTTTTTTGTTATAGAATTTCGGATCTGTAGCCGACGTATTATTGTAACGGTCATTTTTTGATATTCCTTGCTAACGGAGGAAAAAACAAACAGGAATATTTAAATGACGTAAATTTTTGTGTAAAATTGTATTTGTTTATCTGAATATTCTGTGGGATCGTATATTAATCGTAGATATTTTCGTTTTTTATCGAATAAAATCATTTTGTAAACGCGGGATAATCAATTAAAAATATTTTTTCTTTCAAACTAAGCGTAAGTACAAACATTTCGGATTTACATAAACACTTGAGAATGTCGAAACCTCAGTCCATCGCAATAAGACGTTCGTACAGAATGTTGAATAAGCGTTGGAAAAATCAAATTTTGATTTAGTTACTGAACAAAAAAAAAAAAGAAAAAAGGAAAGCGACATAGGTAACTAAACTCGGTTACTGAAATATCGTTGGGTACAACTTCTCCAGATATCTGACATACATCATTATGGACACGCGCTATCTGCCACAATAATTGCAATGTACCTACTTAAAAAAAAAAAACCGTTTAAACGGTGATTTATGGGAAATATTTTACGGTAAACATAATATTACGTATACAACTCGATTTGGTTCGATAAAGATAATTTAATCTACACGCAAACACCGACCAGGTGAATGCGTATAATATATTATACATTTTTATTGATGCGTGCCTAATTTATTTTCAATAAAAAAAAAACGGCGTGGACGTGACGGACGACGGTCGTATAATATAATATTATGCGCTCGTACAATAAACCCACAGTATAAATAATACCGATCGGTAAAGTATAATATTAAAATTAAAAAAAAAAATTCATTTATTTCGCGATGTAAAGGTTAATAAAGTATAAAAAATAAACTTTACACGGGATGCCGCGTACAAAGCCATAAACACACCTCTTCGAGTAAAAGTGAAACGTATCGTGTGTTACAATATTATCCTCGTAGTCACACAATAAAATTATTACCGCCGTGTAATTATTTACACGATTATTATTATAGACACAAGGTCAAGCCGTAACTTGGCTAGGATTTTAAATTACGCACGGAATATTCTCTGCTCGGATCTATAGATTTTTTTTTTTATCATTATCAATAAAACCGATAATTACGATATTTTATTTCGAATTTATCGTCGTCGTAAATTATGGCATTTTAAAATTATATTATTTAAATCAGTTTTAGTCTAGTAAAAAGTGGGTAACGACCGCGAGTAGACCGCTGATATATCGACGGGTAGTATTTGGGAAGGTAGGATAATAAAGGGTAATTTAGTTCGTAACATACTGTTCGTGACGGTAAATCATTGTAAACGAAAAAAAAATATACGCGGAATAGTATTAGTAGTTTTAGTCGAGTTTTTTTTGCACAGGACACCAAGAAATCAAAAAAAACACAACCGATTTATCGACATTTATAGTCGGTTTACATTGTTTGGAGCAATTGTTGAAAATCTATATATAGGGTGGATGTTTCATCACGAACCAGCAATTTCTTCTGGAGATTTTAAAGTGAATTTAATTTTGTTTTTTCAATCACAATGGCATTGTTTAAGCTTAATTTTAACACCATTTCAAATTTATTCTTCTATTCTCTATATCTCAAATGATTATTTAGATTTTTCAACAGTAAGTCCCCTCCTTCTATTATAGATTCCAATTAATAATATTTGTCTAGATAATACTGCATAACTATAAGCACAAATAGCCTAAAATATTACAAAAAAGTGTGGGGCCCACAGTGGACCCTCTCCAAATTCCACAGTGGCGTATACAGAGGGGGAGAGTCCTCTAGGCCCAAGCCCATAGTGAAATTTCAGATTCAATTGAAACACTGTCAAGCATATTGCTTTAGGGTGAAGTAAGATATTTCCGTCATATAGGTAGTTTCATGAATTTTGATATTTAATGTTAATAAACACTAAACGGTTAACGTATACACTCGACGAGTGTATATCAACCGACAATAGTACTTTGTGTAATATTTGGCACTATGTAGATGCTTGCCGGTGAATAGGTATGTTCATTGTGATTTTATACTTGTGACTTATAGCTCTAAAAAAAAGTTATAAGCGCAATGATATGCTCTTAAAAAATTTCACGTAAGCGCTTATATATGCACTAAAAATATTAAAATATGTAAAAAAATAACTCTGCTGTTACATCAGAAAATGGTAACAACTCTTTAATATAATATAATTTTTCAAGTAAAATAAAAATAATGCGATAATACCCGTTCAATAATATTATTAATAGAGACCTCCTATCAACGGAATTACCGAGTAATAACAATGATCAGACAATTTATCAATTTTATTTTCTTTTAAGATAATTATAAACTGATAAACGCAAATATAATATTAACTTTGCAGAAAATTTTCATTTTTCTTCTTTGAAATGATATAAGCGTCAAATAGCGCTAAAAACATCAAAATAGCAAAAAAACGTCAAAACTTCAAAATATGCAACAAAACATTTTGTATCTGATTTCCTGGTTATCTGAAACATATTTGTAACTTAGGTGTTACTAGGACTTTTCAAAACAAATATGCAAATGTTACAAGTCACGAGCCCTGTAATCATTACTAACACTCAAACAAAAATATCACGAAATTAAATATATCAAGAGCATAACTTTCTTTACTATAATACCTACATAAGGGGTGCTAAATGCTAAATTTATTATATAATATAATAATAAATACGTATTTCAAATTATAATTCGTTTATTTGTATTATTTATGTTATAATTGAAAACGTTCGGCCCCCTAAAAGTAGCTTTGTTGGTGATAGATTGGCCCATAGTGAATATAATTCATATATACGCCACTCACATTCTAAAATTTTAGTAATAAACATGAAACTACAAAATATTGATAATTATTTTTTTTATTTCAATAAAATGCGACGTTCTGTATTGGCAAATTAATTTACAATGCCATCTACATTTATATTATTTTATATATCTCTTGATCTCATTGATACAACTGAAAAGCGATCCCGCATCATAGTTGACTTTACACAAGTCAAACCGTTTGACAAAGGTTTTTTTCTTTTTTTCAGTATGTTCAAAGGTTATACGTTTAGCAGTGTATTGGAACTTGGAAATAGCTGGCACATTACCGTAATTTTTCCCGTATACATATTATATCATTTTTATGTATTTATATTCTTAATGATATCATTATCGACGAAAAAAAATTATCGTTAAATAATTTTTTTTGCAATAGTTTTAATTACGTATTTGCGTTTCTTTACATTTCTAAAAATGATATATTCTTAGTATTAAATACTAACATTTTAATTAGGGGACATTACGCAATAATCAAGTGGGACAAATTCTCTCAAAGACTGCCGTCTATTGGTCTATTTGTGCTTATGTCAATAATACTAATATATTAAATTTACTGTTTGTAATGAATAATAATTTAAAGGTTAGACCGAAAGGGAAAGGAAGAGTTAAATAATTTATCATTTAAAAATTAATATGCGATTTATTACTCTTTCCTACTCCTCCGGTCAAATTTTAAATGGTTATTATTCATAAACAGTATTGATATCATGTATATAAACATTTTTATAAATATATTATACTTATTTTAGGGTAGGGGACATAAAAAACTAAACATTATTTTCAAATAAAGTTTAAACGATTCTATTTCAGAAATCCAATACACTTCCTTCGAAAAAACTACTGGTTCATGATAAAAATATCACCCTGTAAACAACTTTTAATGTTAAACTTGAAATTTTCTTACCTATGGAAAAAATGTTTTCTAAAAAAAACAAAAAAAAAAAAATTATAAAAAACCACTTTAAGGGTGAACTGTTGAAAATTTAGTTAAATAAACTACCTCACGGGACAGAAATGCTGAGTCTTTACAACTAGGTTGTAAAAGTACTGCATGAAATAATTGGAGATCGGAGCGTTTGCTTCACCAAAAAGATGATGTTTTTTAAAATTACATAAAACTCTAAATCTTATTTTCACTCCATGTAATAATATTATAATATTCGATTCCGAGGTTGTACGGATCGATTGCTCAACCTAACCGGCAGCGCCAACGGCGGCGTGTAGCTACTCGTACTTTATTATAATAGTATACTTATCAAACTTTGTTGACAATTCCCGTCTCATCAAAAACAAACATTATGGAAGATAACTATTATACAATATACGAGGTAAATACGGCATGTTTAATGAAGTTTTCAACTTCATTACAGCAGACATAATAATGCGAATAATAAACACCATCTTGAAACTATATTTGATCCTGTTTGAATATTGTATAGAATAGGTCGGTAATAATATTATAATTTCATGGTGCTCTATAGTTTTGTCGATTTCGTGTTTCGAAGACATATTGATTATTCGCTGTATAGTACAATATTAGATTTTGATCGCACTGAGAAATGTATTGGTTTCACTATGATGTTAACTTTTTTCTTAACTTGTTTTTCTGAAAGCTTTTTTTTATAGAATTTTGGCTCTAGTAGTAGGTGCATTGAGGTGTTCGTATTTTGAGAATCGTTGAATTTTTGTTAAAACTTTAGAAAAATGAGAACATTTATGGAAATAACCATTTCTTCATTTTCGGTTTTATTTTTGGTTATACTTCATTTAATAATAATCGTAAAAACCTGTAATTTAACATTTTCGAGATTTTTCTTTTATTTTTATTTTGTATTATCGGGGTACAGATATTTTGGCCCAACAGAAATGTTTGGAAATTTAAATACGAAGTTCATTAAAAGTTGTAAATAGTGGTGAAAAAAAGTTTTTAATTTGACGTATTTTTTTTTTTTTCATAAGCGTGTTTCCATTTAATTTAATAATTTTGATGTTTTGTTGTAATTATTATACCGGTGAAAAATAATTGTAGTAACCTGAAATAACTTTCACAGAATATTTGTATATATTAGCATTTTCATTTTAGACGTAGTAAAACTTTTGAAATATTTCAACGTTTTTTATAGTTATTTGTCTTTTTTTCAATTTTACAATAGTAAAATGATTCTGGTATTTGGTTTCATGTAAATACTCGGAAATTTCAAACAAAGTTCCTCATAATTTGTTCTGATATCTATGTAAACATGATTACTATCCGTATTCAAGATTTTTTTTCTAAGCATTTTAAATTTTAATTTAGATTTTGACCCAATTTTTACAAATAAATATCTATATGTGTTTCGAATTGCATTTTATTTGTCTTTAGTTTTTGGACTATTCGGTATTTTAAGTACTAATTACTTTTGTAAATGTTTTATTTCTCCATTTTTTTTTCTTTTATAGCAATTTAGATAATTTTTTTTTTGTCAATCGACGTAAAAAGCGAGTTCTTAAAACATATTTTAATTCAGCGTGGAGTGTGCATGAGATCAGCCATACTACTTTTTTAAACTAAATTTAAATTTGTATACATTTTTCGAAATTAAGTTCTGGAATTCGTAAAAATAGTGTGGCCGATTTCATGTAAACTAATACACACTCCAAGATTAATTTAATACCTATTTCAGAACATTAATCGCTTTAATATACATCGATTGGATCGAATGAAAGAACGGTTTTCACCCTGAACCGTATGGAATCGTATTTAAGGAGAATAATTAGCTATAAGTAGGTTAACCATGGCTACAAAAAGTAAAAAGCAGAAATGAATGAATATATTATAATAACCGTCTTTGATCAAAATTCTCTTATGAAGATGCAGTTGTCAGAGAAGTGGATATTTTGTATAATTTAGTATGGTTACAATATATTATATATCAATAAGACACATATTACCTATACATAGTATATGAGTAAATGCATATGATTCTCATTTCATTATTAAATTGTTTTTTTTTTTCATATTTTTTTGTTTAAACTATACAAATTAAAACGCATTATTGATGAAAATATTTGTCTACATTTTTTTTTTTTTTGCGGTTTGCCGGATCGAACTCCTCATCTTCGCTTATGATTCAAACATTTATGTATAGCCCCTCTTCTTTAATACGAAATCCAGGCTACGCCACTGTACATAGTAATAATAAACGACAGTCGTAGTCATAATATTTTATTGTGTACAGGTACTTATAATTATAATATAGTCATTTATAATCGGATAAATCTTACGATGTACGCGATGATGTTTTAAAATTATTCCGAATACCAGCTGCTATGTGTACATAATACGCTTATAATATCGGGGACGCTGTATTATCGTGACCCATAATTATTATGTTATATTACGTCGATAATTTACATTTCACGTAGGTGAAATATATATCTATACACACCATATAATTACGATGACGCGCAAAGGTTCGGTCAGTTCGCGGTACGTACCTATAATATTGATGAGCTTAATTAGTAGTAATTTTTGTTTTTTACCGTACCATACCGTTTTGAAATAAATAAAAAAAAAAAATAGTGTCCATGGAGGTCGTCAGATCAAACGGTGAAACGTTTACCCGGGTCTCGAGTAGTTTGTTCTCAGGATAACAGAAAAGTAAAAAATCCCCGGAAGAAGTGAACACATTTTCGCCTCTGATATAGTACCCGTCGCGGTTTTCCATAAAAAGTCGAGGATAATTTCCGACGTGAGCTGAATGTGACCAAACCGATATTGAAATACATTTGAAGTCATGATTTTCTTAGATTATTAAAAATTCAGGCATACGAGAGAAAAACTGACGCCGTACACATTTGATCTTTTAAACAACTTTTTTAAATCACGAATTTGGTATGAAAAGTAGAGCGTTGCTATTTAGAAATCTAAAGGTGGCATTTGTGTTTACGATTTACGGAATAAGGATAACATTTTGTGAATATTGTATGTACGATTTTTAAACGATTACTGAAAAACCGCAAAAATAAATTGTAGTCAAAATCTTCGTTGGTAATTGCTGAATCATGATAAAAAAAAAAAATCACCCTGTATTTTCGAGGATGTAACTGAGCGCAACAATTATGTGCAGCAGTTGGCTACAACGATCCATGTCAATGTCGCGTTTTTATTATAAAGGATACCTACTGTCGACCCTTATCTAAAAAAAACGTAATAATTCACGATTTTGCATGGGACAACACAAGTCGTGTGTATTTTTTTATTTTATTATTCTGAGTTGAGCGAGGAAGCTATTAGTTTTACTAAGATGTGCAGGTTTTTTTTTTATTGGTAGGTAAATTGGGTTAGATAAAATGTTTAAAAAACTAAAATGTCCGTTCTGTTCTATTCTGGATCGCTTTTCGTTTGAAAAAAATTATCACTCCTATTTCTATGACACGTCTACCCATATTTTTTTGTGTAATTATAATGTGGTATACAAATGGAACGAAGTACAATTTTTTTTTTTGTCAATTAATTTTTTTGATACCGAAAATTCGTTGACTTAACCTAATCTATAACTCATGCTACTATAGATGGCAGGCGTCTCGTGGTGGCTTCTGTGTTCTGGATGGGCATCCGACTGTTTCTTGGGCCGTCTGCGTTGGCCCGAGGTGTGCCGATGGTTATGTCTAGCCGTCCTGTTTCCCGTCGACTACCAAGTGTTTTTCTTCACTTGTTTAGCCGCATCTCGAAAACGCCAGTGGTTGGAAGCATTTAACCGGGGCCGGTTTATCGTTACCGTATACCAGGTATGTAACGTTTACTATAACCTTCCGATGTACAGTCTAAAATATAGGACCCATAAAATCTTTTTTCGATTACGGTGTGCCGAGAGGCCACATATCATAAAATACAAATTAACCTGTAGTATAATAGACTGTATATGGCGAACGATAGTGTGCGTATTTATATTTATGTACTCAAATATGCATTTGCAGTTTATTAGATGGAATAACATAATATGGTCGTTTTTGTAAATTTCGTGACTGTTCCAGGGCGATTTCTACGACTTTCGGCTGGTCGACTACGCTGAATATCTAGACGGTTTGGCGAAAAAACACCAACGGTCTATATCGAAAAGACTCGTGTGCGAGTTCGATCTGAATTAAAATGTTTTGTGGACTTACCCTCGACCTAATAATGCATCTGTGCAGTACGCGTCCCGTATAAATATGTATGTTTTATGACGACCCCGAAACGATGACGACGCTACGAGGACAGCGATTATTGGGATTTCGAACCCATCTGGCCGTTTGAATATTTAAATTATAATATTATAATATAGTTTCTAAATTATTGACCTCTAGTGTACACGCGTAATCGAGTTAAGCGAGCATATATTATTGTAATTTGACAGCTTAGTATTATGAATATTTCGACGCGCGTACGCAAGACAAATATTGATCGGATCGCCGTTATTGTTATATGTACCTATATGCAGACACTCAAAAACAATCACAATTTTTTTTAAGTGCCTTTATACAACTATACAAAGATAATTGTTAGTTTAATTTTTTCGAGAGCTCCGCAAACATAATTCCGAGACTTCTGTATAAAGTTTTCCATCCGATAGTGACGTAGGTACACACGTGTGATGTAAATACGCTATTTAAATGTTAGGTTTTATAAGTTTGTACAATTTAAAAAAGAAAAAAAAATTTTTTATGATTTAATTTGTTAAATGTCTAAAAGTGAGTATTACAATTGTCAATGACGACGGTCAGTCGTAAGTGTAATATTTTCTCGTTTTTCTCTTTTTATAGCGTTTAAATACTCGGAACGAATTTAAATATTATATCTGTAGATAAAACACTGCAGAATTATTTTCAAACGGAAACCTAAAATAATTCGTCAGAGCGCAATAATTATTTCGAAAATAAACAGAAATAGAAACATCGTATAATGGAAATATAGTTAAGTATAATTTAAACGAAACTATACGGTTCTGAACGGAGCTTGGTTGAATCGTAACATGAATCTCGAATAATATTTTTAAACACAGTCAATAATTAGACGGTACAATAATAATTATAATATATACTAGTTTGTAAGTGTAAAGAAATATTAGTATTTTTATAATTCTTAAAAAAATTAATAAATTAATTTATGTTGCTTAAATCATTTTGTTGATCAATCAAGTTTACCTTATTATCTACCTACCTTTTAAATTTTTAAGGTTATAATTAAAAAATACTAATGTAATATATATTAAATACCTACTCGTATATGTATGGTATATCTGATAGGATGTCTAAAATAAATCTCACTTAGGTTTTTTATGGTGTTTAAGGTAAGATGATTTTTACGAGCGCACGGAGTGAATTTCATATGAATTAAAGTATTTTAAAATATCAGTCCTCTCTATAATAATTAAAAATATTGAAAAATAATTGAAAGTGTTTACCTATGGTTGTGATGAAGTCAGGGAACAGATGGTGGATCATCGATAAGTCCTAGTAAATAATTGTTCATCAAAATTTGGTAAAAATATTTAAATAATGTAAGTTATCAGTGGAGTGTATGTATATGTTCAAGTTCAATACAGCCGATAGTATAATTGTATCAGTGTGGTAAAAATGTTATTAAAATGCAAACAAATTATACTTTTTTATAAATCACTCATAAGGTATTAAATAACACCTATGAGTTAAATAACTCATAAGGTGTATTAATTTGCAATCTCGGTTAAAACGGCGGGGAGGCAGTTGCTATCCTACGTAAATCTGTAATGACGCCTATGAATATACGCATAGTTTTTTGTAATTTTTACGAATTTCGTTAAACTTCTAACTCGTATGAAACGTTATTGTCTAGGGTTTCAATTGGAGAGTAGCTTTTGATCTTCGAGTTTTCGTAAAGACGAATTTAACGATTTCGAGCTGAACTACAAAGAGAGAGAAAGAGAGAGCGAGATAGTCCTTTTTTTGACTATAGTATAACTATACATAATAATGTTATAAGATACTATAATGGTGGCCACGAGTATGACGCGATTTGGAAATGTGCGTTCAGAAAACGTTTGTTGCTGACGATGTTCGTGTCACTATCTCCGAAATCTCGATCGTATATTATACATAGGTACCCGTTATTTTAAAACTTTATTAATACAGTCCTCCGTACGCTCATTATATAACCCTACCCTTCGAATATTCGATAACTGATAAGTACTTATACATTAACGCCCTTACGTAATTTTTTTATTATACGAATTTTTTTATTATACGAATTTACAATTATTATATTATTATTATAGCGTCTACCTATCTAAAACGTTCGATTGTATAGGTATTATATTAGTGAACTGTTGCAAAAAAAAAAAATCCCATTCATTACGTTGTGAAATGATGAATTTCAATTAGCGTTGGATATTTTACACGTGAAAGTATTGGGCATATGTTACGACGGTGGCGGCGGTGACGGTGGCGGACTAACGATAGCGAGTTGTTCACCTAATTTTACCGTTTTATTTTAATATGCTCGAACAATATTGTTTTTTTATATAAAAAAAAATCAATTCGCTGACGAGAAACATTTTCCGCTATGCCGTGGTGTATAATATGAAAAGTCAAGCGATTTTTTTTTTACAACGAAAGTGTCCGGTATAAGGAACAGCTGAAATTGGTAAAGGATTCGAAATTTTGTTTAGAAACATAAGTGGGGAATTAAATTTTGAAATTCTTAGCCACGCGTTATGACGTCATACATGCATTGTTTGTATTTAATAAAATAAGATAAATTTGTTTGTCACGCGTACGTTTTTGTCGTTTTTTTTAATAACACATGAATAACTACATTTAAAATATCCGGAAATAACTGTATACGATTCTAACTGAAATCAGTTAAATTAAAATATATGTTTTTTCCTCTCAGAAAACACTTTTTGTGTTACTTAGTAAAAATGCTCCAAATTTCCACACCATACATCCGTACATCTTATTCAAAGACACGACTTTCTCGATCGGTGGTACTTGTTGATTTCCGGGTTACATCGGCAGGCAGCGAGAGAACAAGACTATAATAACCTTATCAGTTTATCGAGCTCCGCTTTCGGTATAAAAACTAAATAACCGCGTGTTGTCTCCGTCTTATTAACGAATGAAAACGACATAGCGAAATTACATCATACTTACAAAGTCATAACATACCTAAATTGTGCCGTTTTTCTATAAAAAATGTGAAAACTATCAGGACTGTAACTTTTTGGAATGAAGATTACTCTTTAAACTTTCTTTGATATTTGCGTTCAAACTTCAATTTCAACCTAAACGCCATAATTCACGTTCAGAGTATAATATAAAAAATAAACGTTACAGACATACGGATCTGGCCTTATATATGCATGAAATAATATTTGCAAACGTCCGCGATCGTTCTCGCAAAAGAGTGCAGGCTATGAAATACGATTCACTTAAAATAGTATGCCAGTAATACGAGCACGTACGTACGAGGAGGGAAAAAAATACAACCTCGGAGTATCAGATTTTTTTCGCCGATACGCTATGCCTAGTGTGTAATAGAGTGTTTCTACTGTTACACCCTTGTTTATACATATATATATGTATTATTATTATTATTATATGGCACTCGTCGTCGGTAAATGCTACGTCGGATTCTAGGTTCATATTGCGGTCACGCGCGCCAGTTAAATCCTCACAATAAGCCTATATATTACAGTTGCGTCTGGTCGTACCTATGTGTACATCATGTGTGGTCGGATGTGGTATTATATCGTTTGGAAAACTGAAGGTTTTTCGGGAACATCAACATCCGTCGGAACTGACGAGTACCCTTCGAGTATCTACTTGCAATTATCGTGGGACGACACGTGCGGATATACACGTGGTTCCATCGGCCGTATCTTGTTATCAATACTCGAATGAGTTTTCAGTTTTGCGCCGTCCGTTTCTATTGTCCGTTCTCTTGAATCGCATCTTTTCGATTCATCATGATATATTGTTGTAGTGTATTTCGGCCTAGGGCTTCCTATACGCCGTGATTATTTCCTTATACGTTCTCCACGATATCAACATAGCCACGCCTGATTATAATATGGTCAATCCTCTTATTTCGCATTCAGATCGTCATTTAGACCGCCTATTATATGGAATATTTTAATCATTTTTAGTACGTATCAATCCGTGGTCGAGTCATATAGATATGAGTTAGCTACGCATTTACCGAATTAATATTGCACTTATATTTTTATAATTAAAAATATGTGCAAATAAATAATGAATGATTCAAACTACGTCGTCATAATATACTGCCGTTGCGTTAAAATTACATTGTACACTAGAAAAACATGTTACATGTAATTTGTTTATAATAAATTATTTTCTCCGTAATGTTATTATAAAACGATACAGATATCATTTATCAACTTATTTAATTTACTGAACGCAGCATTCAATGCTATGTACTAAATTATTATGATATAAGGACCGGTAGATTTGATTTTTAATGCTTATAAAATATAAGTACGTATAGAACCATAAAATCTATATGGTACATTTTTATTTCGAATATCTATAATTTTGATTTTATTCATTGTGTAAATTTTGTCATTTGCGAAAATGGACTAACGGATATTAACGAAAGTATAGACGAATCGATTAATAGTACTGTTAGATTATGGAGGGACTCGTGGACATCACCGGTAAAATTAATAATAGAAATACAGCGTCCATAGAATCAAAACAAAATATCGCAGTTATTAAAACTACCGAAATAAAACCATTCGAGATTTCGCGAAAACATAGTTTTCAAAATGACGATCATCAAAAGATTCATCAAAGACGGTTCGATTAATTCTAATCAATGAAACAAATAAGTCAGAAAAATATTGTGTTTTTTAGCATTAGTGCTAATTATGCTTAATTATGTAATCGCATTTTAGTATTACCTAATGATCAAGACTAAAAGAAAAAGGAAAAAGGAAAAAGACTATAGCTTAGTTAGACTAAACGACTTGGTTATTATATTATAGATTTATGTAAAATCGTATACATAATATAATAATATAAATAATGCTTTTCATTTTTTTTTTTTACATATTTATGTGTAATAATACAAACCATTTTTTTTTTTTGAAACAGAAATAAACGAGGATTTGGTTATTAAATGCATTGATTTATAATGGCGACGAATCAAAAACACATTTAACTCATCATATATTTATAAATAATCCATGCATTTATTGGTGTCATAAACATATATATATATATATTTTTTTTTGAAAATTATAATTGTTAGTTATTATTTTTTTATCGATTTGAAATTTGTATTTGTCTACAGAAAAAATCATGTTTATTTTATAAGCTTTTTTTAAAAAAAAAAAATATAACCGTTTTCTATAATACATATTGTACAAACTATAGCTATTATAATCTTCGGTTTGTGTGTAGTTTTTGAAGTTCGAAATATATTCAAATTAAATATATTACTATAATGCAGGATATTTGATTTTGATTAATTATTTCAAAATTTGGTTCAATTGCCAAAAATATAAGCCTCACGCTAATTTAGTAGATACCTAATTAGATCATTTTATAGTAATTTTTCAACGTACAATCACTATCACACATACAAATAATTTAACAAGTTCATGAATAAGTTAATAAATACACAGTTTTTTATTTGAAATACATACCCGAAGGTAAGTAAAATCAATAATATCTATGATACAAATTTAAAATGTATATATTAATGGTAATTACATTAACTGTTAAGAATCTGATTGTGATTAAAATACATAATTATTTTGCTAAACATTAATAGATGATAAGACTACAATATTGTAAGTACTGTGTTATTTTTTATCTTCGTGATCTTCGTATCATGAAAATAAGTGTTTTTTAAATATTTATTTTGTTTTGTACATTTTTACTATGGTTTTTTTTTTACATACATAAATAACTTATTACGAGCAAGAAAACGATGATGTGATTATTAACATACACATATAATATATTGTTTTATAATGTATTTTACATTTTGACTAAAATTGTAACAAAAAGTGTATTTCAATATTGCTAAGTACAAATTAATATAAGCGAAATA